CAAGACCACTTGCCCGGCAGTTGCACTAGCGACCAATCGACTACCGAGACAGTCTTTTGGCAATCAGATTGTTGGTTGCATTTAGGTGATCGAAACAATACTACTGTCCTAACTGTCAGTTCGGCCTATTATTCTGACTAAACTACTAAATTAAATGGTTTCTACTAACAGACGCTACTTACATCCCTCGCCTTTTAAAAATTTTACATATTTGATATATAATATTGTAGTATGATTATTACTATACGTGTACAATTATTTTAACTTCGTCCGTGGACATGGAAGCAAAGGTAACCTTCATTTGAAAAGCCTTTCTGCTCTTATTGATACCCCAAAAAGGCCTCTATCTCATTCTACCTAAAAGGATTTTCAAAATATTTCCTCGAAAGATTTAAACGAAGTCAGCGTCCCCTACCATGCTTAACTTGCTTTGTAACAGCACAAAAAGGGGGGAACTTGTCACATTGTTGCCAAGTTTTACATTTTACACCGAAATAACTTGGAAGGGGTTTCTACGTAAAGCCGGTAAAGAATAGGTTAAGTGTTTTAATAAGTAGGTAGCTATTGACAATTTTACTTAAATTAGTATCAAGAGTTGGTACCTAAAAGAAATAAGCATAACATTGCGTTACACCTCGCCTTTAGGTCCACGGTTGTGTAGATAAATTTAAGTAATATAAATGTGAGGTTGTGTTTATCATTGTTTTTGTCAACCACGACATAACGGTTAAAGGGAACGGGATAAAATTTGTAACAGGCATTGATTATACTCTGAAATGCTACATAAGCTACTTCTTCCCAAGGGAACGGGAACGCGGGCGAAGTTGTGGGCAGAAGGTAACTCTCATGTTATTATTATAAAGTTTAAAATTGCTTGTGCTTAAGGCCTCCCTTCTTTCCACTCCTCTCCATGTAAAACTTTTTGCAGCCAATCCTTGTCATAGATGTCTAGTCCGCCCCGCCATCTCTTATTGGGCCTGGCGCGACGTCCATTGATATTGTCTATTCCTCATGCAAATAAGAAGACAATCAATCAAAGATAATGATATAAAAAGACTACAGAGTAAAAGGATTTCTCTAACCTTGCTTCGATCTATACCTAAACTTTCTCCTAGATTTGACTAAAGATCAGACTCAATTAAAACTTCTAAATCCAAGGAAATTAACAGAAATCTATACCCAGACTAACTATAGCACATTGGAATTCGTATCAAACTAATATCAGAAGTTTTCGCTCGACGAATTTAGATGATTGGGTACTGGTACTAGGGAACGGCTAAAAACTTTTTTGAACAAAGCCTTTGTTGAGGGTTTGCGAAACGGTTTGACAGTACGTAGGTGTTTTCCAACTTCACCTGTGACATTTTACAACAATATACTGCTCACAGACGGAACGCCCACGACTCTAAGCATTGTGGAACTCAGAGCCTACAATTTCAAGAATTTCTTAAGTTTCATACCAAGGGACCGCTTATAAACCCGTTCATATTACCATTTGGATTAGCTCGCACTTCAAAGGATTTTAACTATGCAGATTACACGGCTAAATAATTAAATATTAGAAGCTCTTATTTTATTTGAGACATTCCAAGCTTTTGGGACTTATGAAGTTTCACATATAATTTTCTTCAAGATGTTCTTTGAATTACGAATTCTTGACAAAGAAAGTGCCTGATATTTTAGGCTTTATTCCTCACTAAGAGCTAAGTAAAAATTAAATGTCGTGTGTAATGGACCATTAATATAAACAGTTACAACACAACCTAATACCGGAGCTATACTAATAACCTGTAGACAGTTATTTCTAAACTCATCAATATTCAATGTTATTCAAAACTAGGCAAATTTTAACCCCACCGCAATAGACCCCGTGGCCAAAATCTATTTTAAGTCGATAAACGCTAACATAATTGTTTGCGTTTAACTCAGACGTTATGGTTATTGTTGCTTCGTAGATTTTATGGCGCAAACGTAATAAACAAGACGCAAGTTCACTTTAGTGTTGCAGACTAGAAAGTTTTCGATTTCGGTTCAATAAAGTTGAAATGTTTATTGGGAATATTACGGATTTATGAGTTGTAAATAAACTTTTCGTTATAGTCTTCACGATTTTTCTTTTACAAATTTTATATTTATATGAAAAGTTTTATCGAATCACTTTTTAAAAGGGTCGAAATTTAACAAATAAGTAACATATGTCTGTAACATTCACTTGACAATAGAATTGTATTTAATAGATTAGAACCAATTATAGCGTACATTGGTACTATTAATCGAGTAAATCTCCTAAATTACAAAGTAACTACAATATCACGTGTTTGTCAGAATTGAGACCGTTTACTAATGTTTGCCGGCATAACAGTAAAAGTTCATGATTCATTGCGTGAATCAAAATATCCGATTCATTGTAAAAAAATGTAGCAATAATACAGCGAGCTACAAAAACAGAAACAACACGCGTTCGCGTGTCGTGGCTCCATCGTGACAAATGATCCTCCATCGGATTCCAAAGCGAGGCGAGGCGAAGTGAATGCGATTGCTTTGGTCGCTTTCCAGCTTGTCATTCTGGACTTCAAAGCTGGACAAACGTGAGTTACTTTAAAAAGGAGATGGTCTCTAAAGTGTCTGTCAGAGCTTCTCTTTTCGGAAAATCGGTTCAGTAATATATGCGGACATAATTATTATAGTTAGCTAAGACAAGTAAATAAACCTGACTTTCTAGTCAAGTCTATTACTGTGTTGTCTTTAACTTGTATAGTCATTTAACTACTTGCAATATGGTCAAATAAGAGTAGCTATTGATAAAACGATACCGCGATTTTTGGTCTTTACTCACCCAGACCTTTTGGCCTAAAGTGACCTTGAACTACCTATCAAAATTTACTTTAACATCTTCGAATCGATCCCTATTTATAGAACAAACTCAATTCAAATAACTTAATACTATAAATATCACTACAAGAAACAAGTTAAGCATAGTTTGAAGTCCACAGAAATGTTAAAACATTTTACAGACTTGACTAGACAGACAGTTGGATCGATAAACTCGAAATGAACTCATTTATTTCAATAAATACTTGAACGTCACAAAACGTTTGTTGCCCAAGTGTTTAAACAAAGACTAATTCTGGAAACGAGTAATTACTTGCCAGTTTTGTACCGACCCGTCTGTCGGACACTTCCACTAGTTTCTTACTCCTTTTGTCTTCAACTTGGAATTGGACATAATTGTTATGTTTATTATGCCCGAAGGTTCTCCGCTAGGGTTGAATAGTTTGTACCGGTTATTTATGACGTCATCGTGTAATTATACGCCTACCCTAATCCTTCATTGAAATAAATATAAGAGTTAAATATATGTTGTGAACAGATAAGGTAAAATAATTCATCCATGCCGGTTGCGGCTACGGCGACCGTTAATTGACTACTGCCGTCTATAATGGGTTCTCATGTGACAGTAACCTTTGTTAAGAAATAGATAAATAAGTTTAAGTGTGGGAGAGCCATGCTTCGGCATGAATGGGCCGGCTCGACAGGAGTGATACCACGGCCTCACAGAACACCGACGTGAAACAACGATTGCGTTGTGTTTCGTCGTGTGATTGAGATTACCGGAGGCCCAATTACCCTCCCCTTCCCCAAACTCCCCAATCCCTGAATCCCCAACGATCCTCAAACTCCTAATCCCCAAAAAGCCGGTAACGCACTTGTAACGCCTCTGGTGTTCCGGGTGTCCAAGGGCGACGCCGATTGCTTACCATCAGGTGATCCGTCTGCTCGTTTACCGGCTTATGTCATAAAAAAAATAATAATTGTTTAACAGATAATATACGACATTTGGATGGCATAGAATTGTTTTTAGTCTGTTATCATTATGCGCAATGACACACCGAGATAATTTAAAGTGAATTAATAAGATAACAAGATAAACTGCGTTCTTATTTACATTTACACAGCAAATAAGTAAAATAATATTCTACATCAAAAATGTAACTAAGTTACGCAATAAAAGTTCAACAAAAACATCTCAAATGTTTCCTCGTCGTGTTAAGATTCCTACCCTCGTTAAATGCCAAACAAAATAACGACTACCCACATTTTAATTAAAGAAACTAATTCGTTTAGGTAATTAATTATTCATTCTTATATTTTTGTAAACACAGAAAATTAATACAAATGTTTTCTTTTTTCCCAACTTTGGATGGAAGATTTCGCAATTTTAATGTTATGACTTTGTTTTAAGACGAATGAATCAATTTCTTTTCCTTGAAATTTTCCACGACTTTCATTTGATTGAACCTCTCGCATTATTAACGTTTTAAATTAATTTGTTAGCTCGTTATTTTTAAAGTAATGGGAAACAATAGAGCGGAGTTTTTCGTATACATTTATTTTATTTTTATATTTTTGAAAATGGCCGATTTCAAACTCGGCTTATGATACGTTTATATTCCACAGAAATCCAATTTCTATTTGAGGCAACACTTTTGCAAAATCATATTTTGATGAAAAAATGTGTACATATTTTGAAATCCTATCAAAAAGCGTATGATGAGGTTAAATTTAATCAATTTGAAGTAGTGAAAAAATTGTAGCTAAAAGATTTTTCAGTATACAATATTTTGGTAAAAACGTCATTGAAACATGAGTAAATTTTTCAATACTGAGGTATACAAACAGGTTTATCATATGTATCAAATATTATATTTTTAGCGAAATGCTCATCATTTTGAAATTGAATATAACTCTTAACATATTTATTCTGTAGTGAAAAAAATATGTATGTTCAGTAATCATTTTTAGTAACCAGCATTTTGGGTGTACCATATTACATTCCAGATAATTTTGTACCTACATGTATAAAGAAACAAACCTTGATAGCTATGTACATTAAAGTCTTTAACCTCTCAAGCACAACTTAAATCATACCAAGTGCTACATCATATAAAGTACATAATTGTATGAATCATTGACATTACTTTCATATATTTTGTTCTCAGGTTTCCTCAATCCTCGATCAGATGAGTTCCCCCGTTCTCCTGCTAATTACGGGCTCATGGATCAAATAGCAGCTCTTCACTGGATCAAAGAGAACGTGGCAGTGTTTGGGGGAGACCCCACAAACGTGACGTTGATGGGTCATGGCACTGGAGCCGCGTGTGTTCACTTCTTATTGACTTCCTTGGCTGTGCCTGAAGGTGAGTTCCATGTTTTAAGGTTTTGTTGTATTTTTTTTAAGGGGAAAAATCATCACCTTACATCGCCTGGGTTAGGCGGGAGGGAGTGTCAGACTCTTACTGATTACAAACCACCCCGTTCCTTCTCCTGCGCGTCGAGCCGGAGCCCCGGTAACCCGTTAGGTTCTCCGCGACTCCGAATCGGAATCGGCCCATCTGTGGTGGTCTGATGGCTCTTTGAGCACGCGCGGAAGGTTTTGTTGTATAGATATGATATTTCTTATAGTAGTGGTATGTTTTTATGGCGGTTGTGTTTGAGGTGCTATAATGACAGTATGAAGAATACGTGTTTTCTAAATAAGATTTTTATTTGTGGAAGTCACATATTGGTCTACTGGCCTTCCTTCACAGTGACAATATTCTGTCTTAAAGATTTTTTACTCCGTACTTTTGCTCCGTGACTAGAATAATTGACAAACAGATATATCCTAAATTAAAACTGCCGATTAAGGGGTCTCGGGTTCGATTCCCGGGTCGGGCAAAGTATTATTGGGTTTTAAAAAATTCTCATTAGTAGCACGGAGTCTGGAATTAGGCCCGGTATATGGCAATATGCTCAATCCCTATTACATGGGACTCATAACATAAATAATGAAAAGTGAGTGTTACATTGTGCAGTAGCATAATGTGCAGCTGCCTACCCCTTCGGTGATAAAAGGTGTGATGTTACGTATGATAAAAACCCAATCATAAAGCTTAACAATACAAATAAGGCATAAACTCCACTTCAGGCGATGAAAATCAGAAATTTTGGTTTACATTTTACAGTCGCACACAGAGTTCGTAGCAAAAACGACTCTTACGTAAATGCTGCGTTGGATGTTTGGCACTACCGTACAGTGTGCACACGTCCTTATCTCAACAAACGTTACGTTAACCAGGTCGTTTTAAAATTAAATCTGTTTTGCACTATACTGCAACCTGTGTTTTGTAAATCTATTGGTATGAGATGGATCTTAATGGGTCAAGAGGATGAGGTCAACTGCTAAGTTTTTTTAGCTGAAAAACGTTATTGCTCTTTACAATTTTTACTTTCTATGGCTTATTTTTCGGGTATGTGCTCGGTTACCTGTAATTTCTATTTAATATTATTGGTTAATTGGGTAGTTTCCTGGGTCATAAATGAATTTTTATGATTTTTCAGTCCAATTAAATATTGAAAAATAGTTACACTTTCATTTATTGATTTTCCAATATACTTAATTTTCGATTTAATCTGGAATTATTTTTAGATATTCTAGGTGTATTATTTGACGCGAAAATATGATGACGTCATAAAATGGTACCTATTTCGTGCAAAATTCATAGAACAGTATCGTTTTTGACGTTTCGAAAAAAATATTGAATTTGACTACCTAGTTGTCAAAGTCAAAGTCAAAGTCAAAATCATTTATTTCAATTAGACCATAGAGGCACTTTTGAGAAAATTAACAAGTGAAGCTATTTGCTTTGTCAACTACAGTATTCTTTATAACAACTCTTTTTTTACTTATAACCTTTGTTACTTATTTATTTTCAATTACTTATTTATAATCGAGTGCAACTCGATCCTCTAGCCACCGGCAATGAAGTGCAGTTCATAAAATGTCTACCAGCGTCCTTTCAAGTACACCACAGTCGTAATAAATTATTATCTCCACACAATGTTGTTACACCTCAGTTTACTAGCACCTTAACTCCTGTTTATAAGCCTGTGTTCACACTGACGCAACTCCAACTTTTATAGCCGACACAGTCCTGTGCAAACTGTTCCAACCGACGTCGGCACGGCCTGTTTGTGTTTACGATATTATGTTCGGTGCTATGGTTGCCTGGTAGTTGACTTTAGGGACTGATTATAATGGCTTAGATAATTTGTGCGACATTCATAGCAAAAAGCTTGTGAGTTGGTTTAGGAGGCTATAAAGTGATGCCAATTTGCGTGGTGACGTCAGAGAAGAATTCTTTGATACATTTGATCTCATACTATTTTCTCTGGCGGCATAAGTCGAGTGAGTATGGTATGACATATTTAACACAGGTGTCGCAGCAGTATTAATTTTAACTTTAAGTGAGGGAGAACCATGCTTCGGCACGAATGGGCCAGCTCGACCGGAGTGATACCACGGCCTCACAGAAAACCGACGTGAAACAACGCTTCCGTTGTGTTTCGTCGTGTGTGTGAGGTTACCGGAGGCCCAATAACCCCCTCCTCCTTAGTCTTCCGAATCTCCGAATCCTCAAATTCCCAATTACCAAAAGGCCGGTAAAGCACTTGTAACGCCTTAGTGTTTCGGGTGTCCATGGGCGGCGCCGATTGCTTACCATCAGGTGATCCGTCTGCTCGTTAACCGGCTTATGCTATAAAAAAAAACTATAATCTCCAACCTGCTTTCTATGCGTCAAGACTACGCCAAATCCTATTTTGTAGAGGAAGCATATGCTTTCTAGACACCATATGGTGTAGTAGAAGTCTCTCATGGGATGTTGATAATGATGCTGCACTGTTAAATGTCGAACTAAATTGATGTGTTTAATGGTTGCTGGTCAGTCTTTCGAAACAAAATATAGTATACAACAATTATTTTTACATAACAAACCAAAGTACTAATTGAAAAACATGATTATAGAGGTAAACTTAGATCAATTAAAACAAATGTAATCACGATCAAGTTATGACCAAAGCATCGGCAAACAAAACCGAATTGTCTTGGGAACAAAAGTTTCGCACAAGTTATAATTAAATTATCGACATGTGCCCACTTAACTGTCTCTTAGGAGACTTGTATTAAGTTAGTCGTTCATATTATGTACCTTCCAGTGCTAGCTTATTGCTTCATTCGATTTAAACTTAATTAAGACTTCACGGTTTAAGCGGTGGGTGGGGGCACGCACAGAACAACTCTTTGTCTGATCCATAGATTGTTGTTCCGGGTCTGGGTATTATGTGTAAACGCACCCAAGGCACCGGAGAAAGTCCTAGTGCAGGGCAATGTTTTTATCAAAAAAAAAAAAAATCATAAAATAAAACGTAACACCCACTTTTCTTCCATTATGACACACTAGAGTGGTTCCATTATGGTACATATTCTACGGTTTGGTACCTATTCTCATACACAGGACTTCAAACCTCACTCAATAATCATAGGTGTGCAAATAACGCACGTGTGATACTCCTGTAGTTGCAACGGTATTTATTTATTACTTCTTCTGGACTTAATGCTTTAAGATATTCTCTGACAGTCAACCATAGGGCAGTGCAGAGAAATGAAGCGGTTGAGGCTAAGCCAGAACACAATTTAAAAAAGTGGTACATAGGTCACTGTACTAAGGATTCTGAAAATTGAGGAGTTACTATTGCTATCATTTTATTACTTTTTCAAATTTTACTTCAAATTGAATTGTTGAAATCACCAAAAGAAATTATTCTTCCAAAAATTATGCAACGAGACATTATTTTACCTTCTACCTAATATTATACTTGCTAATACGAGATAGGCTAGTAAATCGCAAAATGTATGGTTTTATGGCGAGTAGATACCATAAAACTAAATCAACATACGGACCCTCTTCACTCTAACTGAAACAGAACGGTCCCCCATAAACCAAGGTACTTCTAGCCCCTTTATCTATTTAAAATGTACTCTCCATAAGTATTGGAACCCTTTACATACATAGGAAAACATCATTGATTAATTATTATTATTTTAAGCTCTGTTATCTTACGGAGTCGCGGAGGACTTAACGGGATGCCGGCTCGACGTGCAGGAGTAGGAAAGGGGTGGTTTTTAGTCAGTAAGAGTCTGACACTCCCTTTCACCTCATTTGGGCGAGAGAAGTCATTGGATGATTTTCCCCCCTCAAAAAAAGCTTTGTAGTATGTGCAACTATTTGATTCGATTCCCGGGTTTTGTTGACTAAGGGTTATCGTGTTCGAATTTTTATTATTATTATTATTATTACCATTTATTTCAATCAATTACATAGATCATTAATTACACATTACAAACCATAATACAATATAAAAGTCACAATCACATATCAAAAATCACAATCACAAGTCAGTCATCACTAAAATAATCTCCCAACTCAAAACAATAATTTCACATTAGCCAGTACATGAACCATACAACAGTGGTTCATGTACTGACAGTCAAAACGTTCAGCAAAGGCGCTCAGGATACTATTGCGGCTGCCCCGCACCCTGTTCACTAATGACGTGCACCGCTTGCGCATGATTGTGTTGAAGCAGTCTACCCGTGCGCTGGCAAACATACCCGATGCGCTACAAAAGCGAGGCAGCCCCAAGAGCATCCTGAACGCGTTATTGTATTGAACACGCAGAGCGCTGTACTGTTTCTGCGTATAACTCAACCACAAAGCCCCCGTATAGAAAGACGTACAAAATGCTCTAAACAAGGTTATCTTGACATTCTCCGAACATCTTGCAAATCTACGGGCTATCATATTCGCACGAACAGACAGCGCCCTACGCTCCCGCTCAATATCAGCATCGTCTTCCAGGTCTGAGGTCAGAATATGTCCAAGATATTTAAAAGTATCTACTCTCTTGAGAGGGTGTCCATTTAGAATTGTTTTTGGTATCTGAGCCGGACATCTCTTCTTGGCCCGAAAGACCATGCACTCGCTTTTCTTCGTGTTGTAAACTAAACCATGCTTTTCAGCATACTGCTGACAAATGCCAATCATCCTCGACAACCCGCAAACAGAGGCGCTCAGCAGCACCATATCGTCAGCATAGCTGATATTGTTTATGCACACCCCTCCGACATGACAACCTACATGCGTTCTGCTGAGCTCCTCTATCAGCGCATTCACATACAGGTTAAAGAGCCTCGGAGAGGTCAGTCCTCCCTGCCTAACGCCACACTCCAACCTGTACGGAGCCGAGTACGCCCCCGACCACCGAACAACATTAACTTGGTTGTTGTACCAGTACCGAAAAATCCGAATAATTCCGT